AAAAAAAAAAAAAATTGATTTGTGTATAAAATATTTTATTGTGTGAATGTGTGGTGGAGAATCATACCGTAGCAAAAAATTTAAAATTTTAAAAAGGGTCAAACATGCACTTAAGCTAACTAAGCCAAGTTATTTTCTAAAATATCACTTAAAATTATTCGAATAGATTCGTTAGTTTAGAAAAAGTTACCTTAGAAAAAACACCAAACCCGTTGTATTCTACGGGAGTTAAAATGGGCCTAGTCACCTTGAGCGGAGTGGAATGGACGCCAGTGGGTCCGGGCCCCACTGAAACTTTGAACGGCAGAGTACTATTTAATTTATAGCCTACCCTTTTTCAATTCATTATTTTGGACTTTTTATTTATATTAGAGAAAATTGCAGTAGCGATCCCTAACATTTTGTGCCAATGGAGGCTCATAACCTTTCATAAATATGGGCCCGAGGTCCATCTAGATGGAAACCGTCCAAAACACCGTCAATTGACCAGGGAAATTAAGGAATCAACATCCAATAAAGTCGTCCAAAACACTATCCAAAAACACGGTCCAAAGAGATATCAACATCAAATAAAATAGTCACAGTAAAAGATAATTCAAGGAATTTTTTCGGTTAACTGACAGTGTTTTGGACAGTTTCTGTCCAAATGGACCTCGGGTGCATATATTTATGAAATGTTAGAGATCTTCGCTAGTATAAAATAAAGATTATGGTAAAGTCTATAAATAATCAAAAGATTAGGGACCACTCTGTAATTTTCCCTTTGTATTATTAATTCTTTAATAGGACGGACCGTTATTGTAATTTATGTTTGTTTTTAATTGATTTCTTAATTTGTGTGGGTTATTGCTAGACTCAATTTAGGCCTGTTGATTTATTTTGAATTTGATGTGAAAATGTTTAATTGCACAAGTTGTTTAATTAGAAGTTTATGAAAATTTTAAATTGAACAATTTGTTGAGCATTGAAATTCAATAGAACTTGTATACTTTTATTTAAATTTCCTTTGTTTGACATGTAGGAGGATATAGAGAAATTTCTTAAATGAGTAGGTGGAAAACCACATTTGAGAGCAATGGACGATTGATAAATTAGTTACCTATATTTAAATAGATGTAATCGATAAAGTTGAAAAACCCATAGAGAAAACTATGATTTTTTAAATAATTTAAAAAATATTGTGGATTTCTTTATTTCAAAAGTTTTTTTTCTAGCTAACTTGTGCTTTACTGGACTTGCTTGTGGTTCCATCATTAATAATAATAATAATAATCGAGTAAATTCAAGAGTAATATCAACACGTTTAACTTGTGCTAAGTAGAAATGAGAAATTGAAGGAATAAATATTCATCAAGTTTAGGCCAAATCTGAAACTACAATTTTCAATATATTGTACCCATTTTGTATACGGTCTAGTTTTGTCCAACACAAGGTATCAACCATGCCCGATTTACATTTGTATGGACAGATTAACAATGGATAAATATTTCAAAGTACCTTTAGAACATTTTTTAATAAATATTTTCTTTTATCCTATGATTTATCATTTGACAGTGTAATCCTTCCACAGTCTAGTCATAGAATAATTATTTAATGAATACTTAGCCCTAATCCCTAAAGTAAATTAGTAAATAGTAAATAATCATGATTAATAGTTTCTTTCTTGGATTCTTAGTGTATGCTTTGCGCTTTGTCAATCGACTTGGGTTCTCCAAGAAGAAAATGACAGATAAAGAGTAAATAGTAAATAATCACCATTAATAGCGATCAGTACATATATGCTTTAAATTTCTAGTTGAAATATCAGGGTTCAACCAGCAATATAAATTACGAGTAAATTTTGTCAAACAAAATTATCAATGGCAAAGGGTATGCTCGTTTGTATGATCATTTTCTCACTACAACTATTTCAAATAAAATTGAATATATATTTGAGTGATTTATGTATAAAATTGGAGAATGTGATTGCAAAAGATAGTGTAACAAAATAATGAAAATGACGATAAAAAACAAAGGAGCTTCTAATTTTGTATTAATTTATAAGAAACTAACTTAAAATAAGTACTTGTATGAAACAAGGACAGATCATTATTAAATTCAAATTACTTTTAGCCAACATCTAAAATTATTATTATCATAAGATTAAAACAAAACAATATAATAACGACATATGTGCTCTATAGTATATATTTTGAAGATAAGAGAGAGAAAGAAACATGTACGGTTATAATAATGACAGCGAGATCAAACCAAATTTCATTAAATCTTTAAAATTTTAATTCAAAGGGATATAATTTATATTTTGTTGGGTTGAAAAAATAATGGCGGGTGATTGTCGGAAATAAAATTTGAAAAGACAGAGACCTTCTCTTTGGTTAAAAAAAGAAAATGAATGTTTGGAAAATAAAATGTTAACTTAATTATAAATAGGGAAAGTTATATTTGTGATAAATAAATGTAAGTGATAAGTTTGTTGCCATATATATTTTAAAGATTTTTGTATTTTCTATTTTTATTAATTTCTTATATTTGCATACGATAATTCTATTTTTAGAATTTCATATATATAATTTTCATTTTTTTAACCAACCAATTAACTTTATATAATTTGGGGTCCTCACCAAAATGGGGTCTTAGGCAATCGCCTACTTCACCTATACTTAGGGCCGCAACTGATCCTGGGGGCGAATGAAAGGTATAAACCTTATAGAATGCTGATGATAAAAACTAGCATTACTTTTCAAAATAAAATTTTTTTAGCAAACCATAATTAAAAAATAAAAAAATGTGGCCAAAAAAAGATTGCATCAGCTATTTGATTAGCGAAAGAAACATGAGCAACACGAAGAGCGCCTCTTTGAACTTGATCTTGAATAAAGTGGTAATCTATAACAACATGCTTCGTTCACGAGTGAAAGACCGGACTAGAACATAATTAAATGGCCCTAATATTATCGCAATAAATTTCTAGACAGCAAGAGAGCTTAATTAATACCAAGATTAGATAATAGATAGAAATCCAATTCTACTCTGTAGCAGTGCTGGCAACAAAGTGATACTCTACATCAGTTGATGATCTAGCTACAGTTCTTTGCTTTTTAGAACTCCAGGATGCAGAATTCTGACCAAGATAGACAACATAAGCACATGAGAAAGAGAGGTCATATTTGTCTCCGGGTCAATCAGCATCAGAAAAGTATCCAAATCGAGAGATGAAATTGAGAAAAATTTGCAAGCCATCACCAATTGTACCAGACAAGTAACATACGAGTCATTTTGATAGAGGCCCAATATTAGGTCTTAGGTCGATGCATACTGATAGTTTGTTTTCAGCAAAGATGATGTCTGACCTGGTGATTAGTAGATACTGAAACTTCTATCTACTATTCTATGTTCAGTTAGATCAGGTAAGGATGAGCTCGAGTTCCACATTAGAGAAAGACTAGTTTGTAGACGAGTGAGAACAGACTTGGCATCTTGCATGTGCGTGTCAGCGAGAAGTTCCATAATATAATGCCTCTGAGAAAGCAATGCACCATTTTTGTTTGGGATAATTTTTACATCCAAAAAGTAATTTAGTACCCCCCAAGATCTTTAATAGAAAATTGAGGACCAAGATAAGCTATAAAATCATGAATGAATGCATCATGTTTCGAGTAATAATTAAATCATCAACATATACAATGAGATACAAAATGCGATGATCAGTAGTGTACACTAATAGAGAGGTATCAGCATGTGAGTTCTCAAACCCAGAGTGAAGAAGAAAGATTCAAAGTTTTTAATACCAGGTCAAGGGGCTTATTTAAAGCCACAACTTTCTCTAAGATTACACACATACGAGGGTTTGTCTTAATCAACTAAACGCGACAGTTGAGCCTAATAGACATCTTTCAGACAAGTGAGCTTAAAGAA